ATTTTGACTATTTACTGTAATAAACAGTTATTTTGTATTTGCCGTTTCAAGTTTCACTTCAGAATTTCTGTACTATTTCGTTTTATAAGATTGAAGAAGATTCCAGATCTCTTTTACCGCTCATTTTCTTCAAAGTAGTTTATTCAAAATTTGCATTCCGACTTTATAAGAAACTGATAGTTTTGCTAAAAGTTGGTTTTTCTGCAATCAAAATTAGATTTTTCAATTTGCTTTTTTGACTGCGTTTTTTAAAGATATGAAAAAAAACTGATGCCTTGAGCTCAATTTTAAAAAGATATTTTATCTGTGGCTATTTAAGATAAAATAATGGGGGATTGAAAATTCTCATATTAGCCAATTTGGGATAAAAAAGCGCGACATATTGTGTGCTAATAAAGCGTTTCAACTAAATTATTTCAAATTGAATTGAAGCTTCTAACAAGACGGCTCGTATCAGGGCGAAACCCTGAATGTTCCGAGAGACTTTTGAAACTTATGGAGCAGTAATAACTTGAAAAGTTAAAATGTAAAAAATATATATTATATTTTTTTGAGATTTTTTTGTTAATAAAATCCCACCACACACCATATTAAGTACAAAGTGATAAATTTCGCTCCTATTTACATATCAATTATGACATATAAACCCCCATAACTTTATTAAATATGATCACAGGTGAAGTATCTTTTAAAATTTTAAGCTCAAGACAACAATAGCTTTCGCATGATATACAAAACTCCGTCAAAAATGGCTAGTTAAAAAGTCGAAATTTGTTTGAGGAAAAAAAACCCACCCGAGCCTAATTATTCTGTCCGTTACTTTCCTTCGAAATTCAGAACAATAAGGCGTTTCAACGTTCAAATTTTTTCACTTTTCACAGTGCAGACTTAAGTTGACGAAAAAGCTTGCCATACTTTTTCATATATGGAACAGTGCTTATTATACATTTTCATACAAATCCAAATTTACAGAAAACTGTAACAAAACGCTATGATAAAAAGTGTATTGTTAGCATTTTGCCATGTCTCAAATAATCATATGACAAGCATGTCAAAAAAAAAATTCAAGTTTGACTGTAATTTTTTTGTTCGAAAAAACACTGTAACACTGTGTAAGGCTTTTACCCACAAAAGACAAAAACCTAGCAGAGGTGGCAAAAATCGCAGAGGTAGACAGCATTTGAAGATTCGCCAGAAAAAATTTCACAAAACAAAAAAAATACAGTCAGAAAAGTCTTCAGGTTGATGAAAAGTGGCAGTTGCGAATTATGACTTGTTTTTTTTTGAAAAATCTTAACTTGTCCCAGCATATAAAAAAGTAATATTTTTGGCTGCACATAAAACTCTTATTGTATTGTTTGGCTTTTTGGTGCAAGAAATGGAGTCTGAACTATTTTATCGACAACAAGTTTGGAGTGGTTGTCTGAGCTCAAAAATGATGTTGAAGTTGATTTTAATTTGAAGCTTGTATGATCAGCATGCTTTCCAAAGGCCACATTTATGGACAAGTAAGAAGTGCATTTTCCATGTATTGACCTAAATGACAAGCAATTTTCCTTGTGTGGAGGGTGAACTTTTCGAACAAAATTGATTTTTGATAAGAATTGATAGATCAGTTTGATAACTGAAAAAAGTTGATGAGGAAAACTTTTGATTCGAATTTCAGCTAAATTAATATCCCAGACCCAGATTTTCACCATAAAAGTCAGTCATTTTCGGATCCTCTTGTTCAATCAAGAATTACGTCAAAATTACTGCCGGGTTTTTTGTTAAACAAATTGTGTGAAAACAGGCCTCTACTAGATCAATGAGTTTTAGCAATTGTTTTATCTCCCAAGTTTGGTATTTATGATTATATTTCAAATTTACAATTAATCAAGTAGTTTTTAACATGTAAGACACCAATTTTGATTTGAAAAAAAAAAATTATAAATATTATAAGCGAATTTTTTTTCGAAATTATAATCTCCTTTAACTTCATTGTTCTAAATAATCAGCTTTTTTTGACATAATTTGCTCAAAAAATCACCCCCTAGGTTTGGAGTGATTCTTGATTGACCAAATGAAGCCAAAAATGAACCATAGTTTTTTCTCAATTTTTTCTTTGTAGGAAAACCAATTTTAAATAATTGGGTTCTGTTTTTGTCTGGTTAATTTATATCGTCTTCTTAGTTAATTAATTATGATGAGGGGATGGAAATTAAATTAATTTTTTTTAAAATCACTTTTTATCAATTTCTAACCAGAAACATTGACTTCCAAATGATAGTTGGCAGTTTTCCTTAACTTTGAAACGGCAATTCTCACTTTTCTACTTTAAACTTCAGTCGCAACGCTTGGGGTTTTGACTTGTTGCGCGCTGTCTTGGAACCAACTCGCCAGCTTTGGAAAATTTGAATTTTTTATTGCCATTTTTATTGCCAAATCTAATTGAATTTATCTTCTTTATGGCTGAAAGTCAGAAAAAGATTTTTGGTGGTAATTGGAAGTATCAGTTTTATTTGGTGCCAGACTGCGATAAAAATCCAAAGGAAGGAACTTACTATTCAAACGTGTGCAACTCCCTAATTGATATAGTAAAGGACGAGCGCATCATCAGTGTATCAATCTGGAAAAAACCGCTTACCCCAATTCAACTTACCAAAGCAATTTTATATCATGCTATAGTTGTGTTTGAGACTTTTGACTGGTGTTGGTCAATTGAGAAGGTTGATGACACGATCACAATTCAAAGAGGCAAAACGCAGAAAAGTGTGGTCTACAAATATCGAGGCGCTGATCGGACACAGGGACTCTCTGGAATAGATATCAAGAAAACAATGTCGCTCAAAGCTTCTTCAGTTAGAGTTTCTAACTTCTTCAAAATGTTGTGGGATAATAGATTTGCGAACGATGAATACGATCTAGTCAATTGCAATTGCCAACATTTTGCTAAGCAAATTTGGAAGTATTTCGAACAAATAGAAAATAGCTCAAGATAAAAATATCAGCTTATCATTGCACAGAATAATTCAATGCTTCTCACGGAATATACAACTACTACATTTCAGCACGCTCTGTGTCAGGTTTTTACCAACTTTTTTTGTACTTGTGATTTAATATTGTAAATAGAAAAAAGATTCTTACTTCAAAATTTGGATATATTTTTTTTCAGATCAACCCTTTTGAAAACAAAGATCGATTTTGTATTCGCTTCAACTGCTATCTCTCAAAAATATAAAAGTTTTCCTCATCGTTTTTACTCAAGGTTACTTTTTACTCACTGTCTCAAACTGAACTTAACCACTTTCCTTGCCCATAACAAGTAAAGATTCTAGCTCGGATCTGCAATCCAACTTACGAAAGTGATTTTCTATCACGCTATAGTTGTGTTTGAAACTTCTGGTTGGTGGTGGTCAATTGAGAAGGTTGATGACACCATTACAATTCAGAGAGCCAAAAAATGGGAAAATGTGGCTTACAGGTATCGAGGCATTAATCGGAAAAAGGGACTCTCTGGAATAGATCTCATGAAAACAATGTCCCTCAAGTTTTCTTCTGTCAAAGTTTCTGACTTCTTCGAGATGTTATGGGAAAGCAGAATTGTTAACGATGAATATGATCTAGTCAATTGCAATTGCCAAGATTTTGCTGAGCAAATTTGGACTCATTTCGAAATACTAGAGAAATTTGCATATCAGAGTAGCGCATCATGAAGCTTTCAACGCAGTTTACGGAATATGCTACAAAACTTAAATGGGCAACCTTTT